TAATTATACATGTTGATTCTTAATTGCGAATTGAAATAATCACTGATTGAAATGCAATACAATTTTTAATGATAATTCAGATTGATGTCATGAGGAATCCTGGGCTAGCATACCATTAAAAAATCGACTTCTTACCTGTTTTAAGGATTCGCTCGCACTAAACTTCAATCTTTCCAATTGCATATGTTTAGTGTGCGCAATCTACAAAGCAGTCGAGCTACCTTCTTACGCGTTGAAATTCGTTACACTCTCTTAGGAAATCAACTTAAACAAAGGAAGTTTGTTCAGCATCAGCTGTCTAAACTCTTTGCTCACATCAAGGGAAACATTGAGGCATCTGAAAGCTTGACAGCTAGCGCTAGACAATCTCCTACCAACATAAATAAACAGTCCTTGGAATTGTATGTTATTATATTTACTGATATAGCGTTTTTTTTGGAAATTGACGCGATTTCCAATTACCCGGAAACAAGAGCAATATTTGTACTGAAGAAGAATGATAACACACAGTTATTTTAAACGCATTTGTTTAAGGTTTTCAGACTTAATTGTTTGAACACTACGAATTCGTAGAAGTTAACATAAGCTTAACCAACAGTGAGCACTTCAAATATGGAACGCCCACCTTGAACAAAGCCACTCAAGGATGAATAGGCAGATTTAACCTGGTATTATCTTTTCACCCATACCAATATTCGGTACATGAAATTCTCTCCGTCTAAAATAATGATCCATTGATGACTACAAGGATACGATTTCGACATTTGTGTAAATTACTAGTTAGCATACCGAATTCGACTACCTCTGATCATCACGATTTTTAAGAAGTAAATTACAATGACAAACATTAAATGTTAGGTTTCACCTTTGATGCATTTTAACCAGACAGTTATTTTACATATTTCCATCTTTAACCATATTCCGGCAAGTCAGGGGAGCCATCGAACTCCTCGGGTACAGAAATACCCGAGGTGTGTCATTTTTTGTATCCCAGTTCAAAGTTATGAAAATGGAACCGTGTCAGGATCTACCCACTCAAAAATATACGCCTGCCCCAGTACTTTTGTAAAAGAATCGAACTTTTGCTGTTTTTGATCAATACTAATCTCACATTTTTGTGGAGTAATGTAAAAGATTTTTTGGGTTTGTATGATTAAACACTGAAGGTGTTATACAAACTGTTTCAGAAAACATATTTCAGTCTGAGTTAGTAGATCACATTCGTAAAGTTCATGATTGTAAAGGAATTACGAATTGTGTAACGTGCTGGTTGTGCGTTGATCAAGTGTTTTGATAAGTGGATTGCTTTAGGAATCAGTCATAACGTTTGTGAAGTGAGGTGACGATCAATCGTATAGGAGTGCGTAATGACCATGCAACATAGTGAACCTGTAATGGTATTGGCCCTAACCACACAATCCTCATACCTTAACATGAGATAACTGGTTAAGGAAGCTCTCAACATATAACGCTAAGAAAAGGTCAATAATGGTGAACGCGGGGACACTCATTCGAGATTAAATCGGATGGTATGGTTGAGTCTTGCAGGAGTGATTATTCTTTTGTAACGTATCTTTTCTATTCATGCTAAATATAGTTTTATCTCCAACCTAAATATGTTCTTTATAAACACCAAACATCATATTGCTGATTGTTGCGATACGATGAGTCAGTGTAGGCAATTATGTGACTTCCACGTAAGATCTTATAGATTAGGTAATCACACCATGACATATCTACAATGTTGAGATTAAGTCTATTTTTGTAGTACTAAAAACGAACTGAACCATAATTCTACAAACCATAGTTCAAATTCAGCAGACCATAACTTCATAGATTTAAATGGGCCGTTGAGTATTTGACAAATAGTTGAACTTCGACGAGGGTCATCGTGGAAACAGGTTCGTGTCTCGGTCGTGCCGGCTTAGTTATGAGGTAGTGATCACAGTACGTCGAACATTTTCCATTCGTCATCATGGTAAGCTGAGAGGTAATGCCATTCCTGTTCAACGCAAATATCACCGCAATTAGCGATATAAATCACTTGCTTTGGTAATCAACACTGGTGAGTCCGACGTGAACTGTATCTTTGTTTGAGACACTGCTTGCGTTGGACAGGAATGTCATTACCTCTCAGCTTATATTGATGTCAAACCTCGGGATTATTGCTTAACTTCAAATACCTTTTTTTGTATTGAGGTGTTGTGGATACTTGGATGAACGTATAACGCAAAAATAATAATAAACAGAGTGGGAACACCGCGAATTTGACTGTTCATGATGTTGAAACTTAGTGGTTGGCGCTGTCTTCCCTTGAACTTGACGGTGTTCACGAAACTGTTAGACATGCAATGATCAGAGTGACATTTCGACGGCCTCACGACCACTCCTTAAATCATCGTAGTTGTACATATCATCCTATTCCATCAGTAAGCAAGGACACTTAGTATAATAAAGGAGGGAGTCTGTATAGACAATAGTGAAGCTATGACGTAAGCCGTTGTAGATTAGGTAGTTACACGATGGAAAGTTCAAAAACTTGAGTAAAGTTTATTACTCTAGCAACATCATCTTGCTTCTAAATCTCACAAGTGTATTGATGAAAGAATAAACTACTGTAAGAAGAGATTAGTGGGTTTGCATAGTCCAGAGCTTTAATGTATAATGTAGGTTAGCACGCCAATAGTAGCATCTATTTAGAAAATGTATGCGGATAGAAAAACTAATAAATAATCACATGAATATACACGAAACACATATACAAATCGGTACGAAACACTGGATTTTCTTTCGCGCTTTTAATCAGAAAAAAGGTGCGGAAATGTATACCATGGTGTATAATGAGATTTTTCTACGCTGTGCCTTTTTAAAACGTAAAGTCAATAACTTCGGATGTAATTCCTGGTAACATTCTAATCCACCTGAACATGATGGCCAGGAAGTATAGTTTCTTCAATGTCCTCGAAAAACATCTGAAGTCTCATCAGATATGTATGCGAAGAATAATAAATGCCAGCAAACAAAGTAAGAACATAATATTGAATGTCTCGACTCCACCGTAGAACTACATCAATTCATCAATACTGGGACTGACAAGTGTAGACATATTATCTTACACCTAACTTTCGACCTCCCAAAATAGCGATACCACCAGTTTAGCGGGTCATTTCGGTAAGGTTTATTGTTGACACCTGCTCTAAAACTTCACTAAATAATTACTTCTCACATTAACCTGGTGACTGTAATATCGTACCTAAATCCCACAAGAATGAGTGTATTTATAAAGATAGGCCGCAGAAATGCTATAATTATGAGTCATAGACAGGCAGTCGTGTATTGATAAATTGTCTAATTTCGACCTCAACCGATGGTGAAACATAACTCAACATCAAGTGAGCAGTTCCCCAATGTTGTGGTCATTCAACATAACAGGTTGATTCGACTGAGGCTCGGTGTCTTTTCATCCGATGAACTAAGCATTATCAAAAAGTAAAGAACATCGTGTCTGAAACATTTTCGTTGTTTACTTCTTCAATGCTTTCAGTTTCGAGGCTCTTGAAACAGGATCCCTAAATATCCCGTTAATATTTAGTTGGAATTAGTTAGCTTACTTCCCATGCCAGTTTATAAATACCGAAAACATTTGTGAAACAAGAATGACCGTAAGTACCGTCTCAAATTTCTAGGTAGATAGTTAAATCACAGGTACTCCATTCTTCGTCGTCTGGTATTACATCGAACTTACGGTTCAGAAGGTATGACTTACTCCATGTTGATATAGATAAACTCAGTTATACCAGAAGAACCAAAATACTCTTGCGAGAACTTTGTACCACATAACACAAGAGCTATAGCGAATACTGGATCCCAAGAAATCCAGAGGATAAGTCATGAAGACGCATTAGGAACTTGTTAAAAAACCTTGTGGAGTAATCATATTTGTCTAATTCTCATCATCAACGCGTACATATACGCAAGTAGACAGGGGGACATCTGGATGCAGTATGCAGGGATTGGTCAGTGGACGAACAATTTATAAGCAAAGCAACTTCCGTTTACAAAAGCCGTACTGATGGAAAAGACTTGAAAAAAGACAAGTATTCTATGATAACTCGTGTCAAGCTCTCTATAATAAGTGGGAACCCTGCGACACTTTCATTGTTGACTAATGATCGACCGTTCGTGTTTCATGCATAGTAACCAAAATGTTGTTAAATCTCCTCGGAAACACTAAATATGGAAGGTACCATAAATCACCCATTATACCCCCGAAGTATTCAGAAACCACGAAAACCGTAGGACTGATCATTGTTCTTCAGGACCCTTCAAAAGACCTGAAATCAACAGAACGAATAGTTCCCAGGAGCTGGTAGTCACATAAATATACAAATGTATTGATTTTCTTACACGGACAAACCATGGAACGGAGTAAGGTTTCTTTGTCCGGTGTTTGAAATGAGATTCCTGGTTATTACGAAATCAGCACGTAAACGTATCAGTAAAAGGTTACACATTTTCCACAAATGACCCTCCTATAAAAGTACTAGCAATAACACACTGAGTTATCAGCTCTCACTAGAATGCAGATTGAAACCTTGCATTTTAGCTTCTCCATAAGCATTGCATCTCGTAAATCGTTTGGTGGCTATGCATTCTGACCAATTCGTGCATTCACAAATGACAGGTACTCGTCAGTGAGCCAAGTGAGGGTTAAATATACTTAGTACAATTGTGCAAGCACACGAAACTAAGATGTAGATAAGGAAAAAAGTATTCTAGGATGACGGAACTTCCGTTAGCTAACATTAATGAGGATGATGAGAATACTTTGGTAAGTCAAAGTAAATACGTAAGGTTTTCAAAATTATCTTTGTTAAATCAAAGTGACTTTGTACAAATAATCAGGTTGTTCTTTACTCTAACTAGTATAATTTCCTCAGTGTATCGCTACTATAATCGTCCGTAAAACAGGTGTTGGAAAAAAATCCTGTCTCCACTGTTTATTCACCATCTGAAATTAAAAACAATAATATTAAGACATTTGTCATCATAAGCGGATATCAACCATAGAATTATGAAGAACAAAATAACACTCAACAAACGTAACACTTTGTAGAGGTTATTCGGTAGTGCACAAACTTACACAAATCTAATACTTAAACAGTATTCACGGATCAAATCCCATAGTTTTTAACGAGGTGACAATTATTTCACGAGCAGAACAGTTACTAACCGGTGAATGACTATCACACCAAATGACCATTTAATAAAAACGGAAAGTGAGATATACTAGATTTTTATTTAATTAGTTTGAGAGTATCGCACCGGTCACCATGTGCAGAAGTCTTGGGTCCGATTTCGTCTCGGACTGTGGTTGCAAACAGTATCAATTCGTGTCCAAAGCTATATAAAGCCCTGGTACGGCCGAAAGTGTGGAGAGTCACCTCTCCCTCTCGAAATGCTCTCACACGGCCACGCGTATATATTGCTTTTGTCAGGGAAGTCCTACTCATTGCTTTCTCGTGGCGGGGGTGTTTACGAAAATGACCGGACGAAAAGCGGATGTCCAGCGCTTTAACCGGGTTGGTGGACATGAAGAGTCCAAACCAATGGTGCACATGAGCTCCAGTATCATGAAGGAACAAATGGTATATGAACCAATCGTTGGTCACCGGCTACTATGGGACTGTATCTCCTTACGATGCTCCACTGCCTTGTGGATCAGACCTTCGGGTCGAAGGCTTGGGGTGTGGCCCTCTAAGAAAACCACCTGCTTCGGTTTGGGCACCCGGGCAGTATCACAGCCCTCACACATATCAAATGAGATTTGTGTGGCGCATATATATTCGGTGCCCCCTTATGCCAATATTTATGTGTTCTAATAAATAAATAATAGGAAAGGGAATATGGTACTTCAAAGAGCAGAGCATTGATATGCATTCCTTACCAAAAAAGAATTATCAATAAAAAGGATCCTATTAATCAAATGACTACAATTGAACAAGATACTGCGGATCTCATTACATTAAAATAGACAGAAATTACTGTTACCATCAATACAAATAGATTTCAGTGTTCAGATAAAAAACGTGTTTGCATAAAACATCCGAAAAAATGTTTTTAATAGTTTTAACTTGACAGTGATTTACAATACTTAAAGATTATACATTTGTGAATAATTTTTAAAAACTAATGACAAGAAATATTAACAACTTACCAGATTCAAATACTAACTTCTTGGGAAAGGATGAAGACATATTCCTACATTTTTCCATATTCCATTTTATTTCATTCTGACCGAGTTTATCTGTAGTTATATTAAATTTAAAAAATCTTACTACAAATTCGTAGTTGTTAAAAACGAGTATTTACATACACACCGGGGGTCCACAAAGGACTTATTTACACTCCGAATAAGCGATATGATTATTTTAAGTTACTGGTCCACGAGGTTTTGATTTCGAATCAGGCCGATACATAGTCGAAATAACCTTATTGGACAATTGGTATTGTTGCTGAGTTAATGAGCCTGAATTATTCTGCCTGTGCAATTTTAATTTATAAATGGACAAAAGTTCTGTTTTTGCTAGATTGTTACATACTATGGAGATGCTAGATCTCCAGAAATCAATTGATGAACTTATTATTTTTGTAATTTCATTATGGGAACTTGAATTTCTCGTGCCAAAAACGTACATTTTCACGTTCGGTTTGCGTTTACCACCTGGAAGGACCTTAAACGTCATTCGTTGGATTCCCCGTTTAGTATGCTATGTTGTGACGTTTTCAAGGACATTTTTGTGTTGTATATATACGTGTGAGTTGTGCGCTTGATGTTTATTCTTCCGGGTTGCTTGTGGAGTTATATATTTCCCGGATGAATCTGGTCCTCTTCTAGCCAACAGAGATAGGTCGCAGTGGAATAGCTTAGCTTGTTCTATTGTAGCGTTGCTGAATTTCGTCCCGTTTGCCGGTCCTAGCTGATATCTTAATCCTTCGAACCTACCATATCCTCTGCTTGTTTACGGTTAGTATGGTATCAGGGCATATGGAAGGAAATACTGAATCAGCACTGTTTTGCAGGCGTTTATTATTAATATCAAGTATTTTTAGGATATTTAACCTTGAGTCAATTATTATCATAAAACGCGTTAAACGTGCACTACGAATATCTAAATCAATGTTATCGACCATTTGCACATATTATTAGTAATAAGCCTGTTTGCTATTTGGCTGCCAATTTTCCGCGTCCCTTAATCCTCGAATTTTTGTTTGGGATCTATGATTTGCGTTATGACTTGTAGTTATTACTCCTTGCAGATGGCCTGTGTAGTAATATAATTCAATTTAGTGTGGATTAAGTATGAAGAGCTCTTAATAAAGCTAGTGATTGTTTTTGACTACATATTCGGAAAATTTTCCTAACAGTAGGCATCAAAATTGAAAGTTCTAGTGGTTTTATTCTAACTACCTTTCTATTTATAGAACACAGCAACACTCACTGGAGGTCAGCAAACGTGTTTCTTGGTTCGATGGACGTACAAAACACTATAAACAGTATATGACTTTCCGCATAACAAATTATTACTAGAGGATTAAAAGGAAAACCACAAATTAATCATTGATCTTCCAGTTTTGTACATCAAGTCAAATGCCCAGGTACAGCCGAGTGGGAAGAGTTTGTTCTCCCTCTCCGAATGCTCTCATATGGCCACGCGTATATAGCTTCTGCCACAGAAGTCCTACTTACTGCATTCTCGCACCACGGGTGTTGTTTACGAAATTGAGAGGACGAAAAGCGAATGTCCGGTGCTTTAACCGGGTTGGTGGATATAGAGGATCCACCTAGGGGAGTTGGAAAACCCTGATTACAAACCAATGGTGCAAATGGGCTCCAGCATCCTGCGGGAACAAATGGCGTATGGACCAACTATTGGTCATCACCGACTACCATGGGACTGCATCTCCTTACGATGCTCCACTGCCTTGTGGATCAGAGCTATATGTCAAAGGCTTCGGGTGTGGTCCCCTAAGAAAACCACCTGCTTTGGTTTGGGCACCCGGGCAGTACCACAGCCCTCACACAAATCAAATGAGATTTTTGTGGCGCATATGTATCTGGTGTCCCCTTGTACCAATATCTATGTATTCAAATAAATAAATAAATAATAATTGAGTTCGAATAAATTCGAGTGAAATTAATAAGGTTTATTGAAGATGCAGCAAAAAATATACGAAAGTTTCCATAGCTTTTTCTTCTATTCTATATTTAAGAATTTATTCGAAAATTTATCGAACAAGCAACTATCTCATATTCATCTACCCTACAATTATCGAGGAGCGAATCTACTTCCACAGGGTCCAAACTATTGGCTTCTGTCATTCATTGCAGACTGTCTAAAACTTGTGAAAAATTGGTACGAGGAGCATGCAGGTAGACATACTGATCACGTCCTCGCCTACTACCAAATATTAAATCACATCTACACCTGTAGTAGACCGAAAATCTTAATGCTTCTTGATATATATATATATATATATATATATATATATATATATATATATATATATATATATATCATACTGCAGCTTCCTTTGTTATTCTTCATAATAATGGATGGAACTTCTAACTGAGAGAAATCTTTCTCTGTTGCACTGTTAACTGAACCTTATTTCCAATTATACACCGTCGCCTTCTCATTTATTTCCTTTTCTTGAGATATACTTCCTTTTCTCACTTCTTTCTTCGGAATGCTATTTCTATATTCTGTGTAGCACATCGTACTTTTGGTGTCCAGTTGTACCAGGTTTGAAGTGAATTAAATGAAAAAACAATGTTGAAATCCTGGAAAGCTGTGGAATATTCTGATTTGTTTCTCATATTTCAATTAAAATCAAAATTAACCCATTATAGTGAAGTCCTGACAATTTTTGCTCTTGGTATCATCAGAGTCAAACTTATTTATAAAGGCGGTAAATGAAGGAATTAAAACCCATTACTTACTTGACTTGGGTAAGTTATAATTTAGAGCTGTATCGTTCACTTTCTCCTCTATATTCTTTGTTTGTGATTTATGCCTTCGATTAGTAGGAACTAAGGGTAGAAATTTGAAAAATTTAATTAAGCTGTGATAACAATATATTTTAAATTAATGCACATGCTAGGCAGTGAAATGTTGCTAAATAGGGTCGAAGGTGAAAATAAATAAAATGACTAACTGGTCAGTAAATATTCAATATGTGTAACAACATCCAACAGCAAAGTAGCAGCTTAATAAATAGAAAACTCGACCGCATTTCAGAGTTAATGTTCACTCTGGGACTCGAACCCAGTACCATTCGCTTCAAACGCCATCGCGCTATCCACTTAGCTACGGAGTCCTGATAGCCACTTGCTTGTGCAATAGGGTGAAGTTTAAACTCACTTGGTATTGTTCACTTGAATCTTCCCATTGATGTTAAGGACTGCAGTTGATCAGTCTGTTATTGGCATATGTGCATACTGTGTGTATTGCCTCGGAACTGCCTTAATTCACAAGCGTTATAAGCAAAGATGGATAGTGACTAGCAGTGGAATCCAGGACGCGCGTCTTCGTCCTATTTGGGACTCCTCAGCTGGATGTACCTGCATCTCAGAGTTGATGTTTACTCTGAGACCAAGTGAATATATATTTGACATTGTTATGGTCATGTTATTTCCAAATTATAATTCAGCTGTGCCAAAAAACACAAATTTGTTTCAGTTTGAGCTATTAAACAACTATCAAGCAGAAAAACAGACAATTGTTGCGCGATCATGTATAACGGTCATCCAGAATATCATCATCATTCGACTTAGTTGAGTTGTAAATTTAGTTTGCTAAAAAGACTAAATCAAGTCAACACAACGCTCTTTCGAGATCATATATGCAATCGGATTGACTTAGGTTTTCACATTTTGAAACAACATAAAGACACAAAGTTGCTAAATGAAAATAACACAACGCTAAAATCAATGATACTAAGAAAAATAAAGATAGAAAAATTATTTAGAAAGAACGAATAGAAAATCCATATACGAAGTACAATTCTATTTAAAAAACGTAAACGTCGGGACATTAACAGCTCTTCGACAATCAATTACATTTCCTAAAGAACATCACTTAACCAGCAAGAATAGAATATTCAGATTAAACTTTGCGGCACCTGCACGAGTGACATCTTCATCAGACTCTATAAAAAGAACCAACTATGGCCACACGTTTTTTGAACGGTGCCAGAAATGTAATTGCTAGTAATAATTTTCAGCATTAGAGTTTTGCCTGCTGTTGTCAACTCTTCTATCATAAAGGCATTAATGAGATATAATTTTTTGGACATGTTTTTCAAATAGTTGAGAAAATCATACGTATCAATGTAATCCTCGGCAAGTAGCAAATCCAACAAGCCAATTGTTTCCTTAAAATCTAAGGGGTGTACGCATTCTAAATTGAGAAAAGGCTTTGTAATTTATTTAGGGAAGTGTAATTACTTCAATCGAAAACTTTTTTGCTGTTTCTCTCCATCCTGAATGAATTCATTCATCATATGTTAAGTGTGATTGTAACGTGTATACATGACGAGCGATATAAGTTCACACTAATTGGCGAATTGAATGTTAACAGTTTGTCACTAAAACATTTGTGTATTTGCCATTTCCCTCATTGTTATGGCAATCGGAGACGAGACTATATGGCGATAGTACAAAAGATGGATACTGACGGCTTGCTTTTGGATTATGAGGCCAATAGCATCAAAATTTGAAAACCGTCATATCCATATACAAAGATCACACTCACTAGAAGACATTTCAGCAATAACCAACACAAACCAGAAGACTCAACATCACAATACTCCACTCCCTATCTACCACTTGCAGGCCACTCACTCGCCGAGGAATCAGCGCGTATAAACATGTTTGCGTAATTCCTCATCCCCATGAGTGGAGGGAGTTTAATTATATGGGCGTAAATGGTAATGCCACGTGATATATTTTCTGGCATTGTACCAAAGTGATAACCGCTTTCGTGTAGCTGTAAATGTATTTTATTTAGTAGAATTTTGTAATAAAAAGCAAGTTAAATTACATTCATACCCCATAATCGACAGGAAATTGGATAACCCATGATAACTTCATTCTTGAACATCTTAAAAGCCGCTTTACGCTGAGCACTCTTTTTGAAGAAGATGAACACATTTCTATGTAAAGAAAAATGTATATGTTGAGTGAAGACTAGCAGATATGTAGTAAAACCAAGTTTTCACTAAAATTTCCTAATTACTTTTCTCACACTGTATCTAAAAATAAGTTTACGGGGATTAAGAATAACGATACTAAATAATTGTAAATTATGACCAACACTTCAACCTCATATTTACGAATACGACATTTATTCAGGCACTGATGAGGAACCTATATAACCTAACTACAGATCTTCAACAACGGAAATAGATAGTTGTATATCATCAAGTGAGCTAACGTATTTATTTACAGAATGTTCAACATGTTAACTTCTAAAAAGATGTTTTCCGTAAGAAACAATTCCACAGTACAGTTTCGCGTAACCAATCAAAGGCACTACTAATAAAAAGTAACACGACAACTAAATTGCAATATGTGTAACGATGTGTCAAAGTACCCGAAAAAAAGAAGACAATAAAATGATCAATGAACCAGGAACCTGAAAACAACTTGTCTGTTTTCGCCGAACAATTCTTAGTATTTTTGTGCTTAATATAACAATTACTACCATAGACCCAACTGGTAACGAAGTTCCCTGGTGGCCACGAACGGAAAACGACAAACCAAAAACACTGTTTACAGTATATATAAATAAAATCTATCGATAAATAACTGATAAATAAGTCTAGTGATCCTCTTACAAGCAACATCGAAAACATGAGAATTGCAACTTATGAGTACTTTTGAATGCATACTGTGAATTTGATACAATGAAATTCGACGTAAAATTACTAATGCCTAGGCTTTGCTTTTTAGCTCACTCCTTACAAGAAGCATAAAGCATCCTGGTAGAACTACTGACACATTTATTCCAAAGCCAAAAAATAATAATAAAAAACAACACACAACATATTCGCATACTGATGTCATGGCTCAAAGGATTACATCTGAAAATATCTTTTACTGGGTTACAACCAATTTAGATCTTTCCTTTTTATCTCGGAGGTCCCATGGTATGGTTCCCAGTCAATGCGGATAATGAATTAACCCCATAACTATATGATAGAGACAAATAAACTGTAAAAAACTCACCTTTATCCTACTCTGGGCTCTTAAATCAACATTAAAATCCCCCACACAAGCCGAAATATAGAACTACACTACTCGTAATTAGTAAAATTTACAAGTGATAGACGCATATGAATGAAGCACTTATTGCAAATCTTACGCCTGTTAGCCATCGTGGTGGAACATAGGCCGCTGCCTACCAGCATTCACCATCCAATTCTGTCCTGGGCAATCCTTCTCAGTTGCCATTCATTCTTGTCATGTCTGCTTCCGATTCCCGACACAGTGTGCTCTTTGGCCTTCTTCTTCTCCGCCTCCCTTCAGGATTTCAAGTTGGCGCTTGCTTCATGATGCAGTTTGATGACTTCCGCAATGTACATCCTTTCCACTTCCAGCGTCTTTCGCTAATTTCCTCTTGAGTTGGAAGTTGGTTTGTTCTCTCGCACAGGAGGCTGTTGCTGATGGTATCCGGTTAACGGACATTCAGCATCTTACGTAAACAATTGTTTAGAAATACTTGTACCTTTTGATCATGGTTTTGGTAGTTCTCCAAGTTTCAGCTCCGTCCGGTAGAGCTGACTTGATGTTCGTATTGAAGATTCTGACTTTTGTATTGGTTGACAGTTGTTTTGAGTTCCATATGTTATTCAATTGTAAGAATGTACCCCTTGCTTTGTCAATCCTTGCCTCCATATCCGCATCAGATGCTCCTTGTTTATTGATAATGCCACCCAGGTACGTGAAAGTTTCCACATCTTCCAGAGCTTCATCAAGTGTGATTGGGTTGGTGTTTTTCATGTTGTGTTTGGGGATTTTGTCTTTTCCCTTGTGCATGTTGAGGCCTACTGATGCAATGGCTGCTGCTACACTAGTTTTCTTCATCTGCATTTGTCGTGTGTATGGGATGGGATGGCCAAGTCCAAATCGTCTAATTGATTCTAAGCTGTTCTTTGTATTTCGTGCTTCCCCTCAGATGTGGAGGCCTTCATAATCCAGCCAATCACTAGAAGATAAAGAAAAGGGGAGAGTAAGCAGCCTTATCTGACTCCGGTTCTTACTTGGAATGCATCTCTCAGCTGTCCTCTAAGCACTACTCTGCACTGTAGTCCGTTGTATGAATTATGTATGATGTTGATGATCTTCTAAGGTACACCGTCGTGTCGAAGAAGTTTCCATAAGGTTCTCCTACCTAGGCTGTCAAATGTTTTCTCATAATTAATGAAGTTGATGTTTAGTGACTAGTTCCATTCAACTGATTCTTCAACGATGATCCTGAGTGTCGCGATTTTTAAAAAAAGTATTTTTTATTTTCAGACGAATTCTCAAGTTATTTAGACAAAGGCCACCTACCTAGTATTCGAATCTTTAAGTGGTGCCGAGCTTAAACCAGTCAAAGATGTTTCGGGAAATAATGCTTTAATTCGATCATCTTCAATCACATTGGGTACTTCTTTAAGTTTCAAACCATAACTCATACTTGCATCGGGAGATTTGGACGATTCCGATTTGGATTTACATTGTAGATTTGCTCTAACCAGTCGATTATTAATATACTTATGTTTACATTCATTTATAACAATTTGAAGATCTTCCTTATTCTTCATTTCTAATATACATGAACTAAAAAAAAGTTAATGAAACAATGAATATGATAGATCGAAGTTTGAAGTAGGATAATCAGTTATAATATTTGAACTCAAGATGACTTTTATTATGAGCTAGCACGAAAAACTAGAGAACTGTTGAAACCAGAGCATTGTAAAACTGGTTCCTTTTAATTCGAGACTTGAGCAGTAGGCAACGAATAACTCAGACAGCGAGTGAAACTAATACCATCAAATTAAATTCTATGAATTCTCCACAAAAACGTGCTGAAAAATGATAAGCATATACTTACAATAGTGATCAGTTCTTACGAGTTTCTTACAGCTCTAGTGAGAAGTCATAAACTCTAATGTCAACTACATCAGAAGTGGGGCAGTTCACAACCAAAACCCCTATATTACGACAAACTAACTAAAGCTGAGAATTTAAACAGTTGGATGGCGACCCAATAGTCTAAGGGCACTGTGTTTGTCGTGGCAGCTGGAGGCCTTCGGTTCGATTTGATTGGCTTGTACATGTTGTAGTATGCTATTTTTGCATTGTTATTGAAGACATTGTATATATACTCACGTTCACTAGAGTTCGCTTGATTCTTCTTCGATGAGTTTAATAAACCATTCAGTGAGTGTTTAATCTATTTCTCTCTACTTAACATAGAGCTACAATAAAGGTGAGAAAGTTGTCTACGTTTATCGTTCACAGTAATCGATTCTAGGAATAAACGCCATTTATTACTACAAGAACCCACCAGAGACAAGTAATACTTAGTTATCTTGTTCTAATTGCATCTTTACCGGCAAATACGACGGTCATATTTTATGAATAATATAACTCAATTAATTGATTACTTGAAATCCAGAATTCGATTCAATAACTATACAGATATATTTGACCACCTAAATCAAATACTTATCGATCATGAGACATCTTGGGATCAATCTAATAATATTGATAGTTGTAATCCTATGTATGATTCAATAAAGTAATATCTAATAAATATTATACTTCATTTAAAGTGGTAAAGAAAAATAGTACCTACCCATTGAATATTCCAAACTTATTTACACCTAAATGAACACGATTGGCCATGGGGAAATGTTCTTTAATCTCAGTTGCAGTTAGTGAGTATGGCAAGTTTCGTATGATTAAACAATTAGGACTATTAGTTACAAATTGTCTTGACAGATTAGACTGGATTACATTTTCTGTGAATCCAACAATGGCTCGATAATTTGGCTAGATAATAAATAATATTTTTTAAAAGGGGACATGAATAAACTGAAGCGTGTGCAGCGACTATTTAGACATATATTTGATGCAAGACTGAGGTAGTATTTAGTTTAATAGTTGATTGTGAATACGATCAGAGTGGTAAGTTTAGTGATTAAACCAAACGTTAAACCACTAGGTCCCAAACTCAAATTGCATTTCATTTACTTTCGTTTGGGCAGTTAGTTAGTATCACTAATTCTCAGATAAATGTAGTTCAAAGCTAAGTAAATTAATTTGCACTTGGTTGGCAAGTTGCATTAGTATTATCATGACTATTATTATTTGTAAGGATAAACTTTGCTTGAAAGTCAAGTATAACACAGAAATGTTCTTCAAACTTTCTGGTGATTCTTTAAATATAATACACTTTCCTTCCAAAGAATAAAAACAAAACACAAAAGTAAAAGGAGATTTATGAACATTTATTTCGTTAAAAATTTGTAGGTAATAAGGTAGGGTAAGAGCACAACATTACTTTACTCACGTACGACTGCCTCTCGATTGTTTTACAATATAAACTCATGCATTGGAATTCATGAATCTAAACATCGCCGACACTTCAGGATCTGTAAAAACGTTACAGGCAGTCAAACCACGATATTACTAACTGTTAGACCGAGTTATGTCATTAGTGGTGAACATTTACGTCGGCATCCTCATAGTGAGAATCACCAATGACTGATGAACTTTGGTGAAATGGTTTGAGATCGGTCGAGCCAGTGTAGATGTATTCGTTCTTTGTTTAGAAAGCTAAAATATTTCATCATTTTGCCGAAGCTTTGATTTTTTAAAATTATATTTTTTGCGCTTACTTTACTATTGTTATGATTTTGATTATCCATTTTGTAAACCAAAAATAATGTCTATGAAGGGAACTAATTATATGGAATCCTTTACTCGCCATTGGTATAATGATTTTTATCTCCTTTTCATTTTGTTTACTAAATTTCATTATGTTTAAGTATGCTGAATTGAACCGTCACATTTTTTCCCGATCCTAGGTTGTTGATGACTAATTAAATGAGGATCTATATATTGCTCAAATGTTTTGTAAACCGTGGATTTTGATTTCTTTGATCAATTTGAAAGTGTCCTGAAGATGTTTAGTTTAAGTGCTCAGTGCTTAAGAAGTGCGTTAGCAGGACATAGATCGGATTAAAGCATGCTCAATGCACGATTGCTTTGGTGCACGCTGATTGGCTAATTCTTATCCAATCGGCACTAGCCGATAGTTGGAGAATCTTCTCATGTAAAAACTATAAATGTACTAACGTTTTCCCTATTGTGCTTCTTACTTCCATCTAACCTTGTTATTTGGAATATAATCTCTTTCCTGTTCAACCGTGTTCTGATTTGGGGACTTGTCGAGTGAATCGGTGTCCAAGAATATTAAGCAATAGGTATAGCTGGGTCATACCGTAAGAAAGAGATTATAACAAAGTGCTTTGATGATAGTAACAAACTTAACGTTAGATAAAAAGCACCATATTACTTGTGCGACGACTATAAATACTAACAGATGGACAAAACTAAAAAGGGATGAAGAGTGAGATTTCGACATGAGACCCAACTGTTAAAATTCATGTTCGAAAATTTTATTCTGGACATCATATTAAATTCGACAACGAAGAGCGCAAAACTTAGAAAATAAGCGACATAACAAGTGACAAAAAGTTATTTGTAAGTACACCTCACAAAACAAATTGTGACCAGTAGACAAAATAATAAACGGAATATACCCATTATGACATTAAATAAGAAAGATTAGTTCAGCGAAGAGTTCTCTTTTAGGCGAATTCATTTTCAAAGCTGTACAATCGCAAATATATATACTTATTTTTACAGGGTGATAATAATACTGATAATAAACTTCTGTTATACATGGTGACAGTGAGGTTAAATAAACAAAGGTAAAAAAATTTTAAACAAGGAAAGTTTAATAATCGTTTGATAGTTAATGGCTGAAGTATTCATTGGGTAATGATGGCTCAGCATGATAAAATAAAATGTTGAAACAGAGATGAAATGTGATCGGAATGACCGTGGAAATAAAAACAAACCGGTTGGGGGTAGAAGATTTGAAGGGAAGATGGAAGGTGGAGCAGGTGGCTGTAAGGGAACAAGAGTATGAAGAAAGAGAAAGTTTTTTTTAAACCTTTTATTTAATACATTAAGACCATGGTAGAAGAAGAGGTTGTACCAATCTCTTTTGTACACATAATTCTGGTTTTTCAAAATGTATGGCTATTGCCTCGGCAATGCAGCGATTGTACAGCTTTGAAAATGAATTCGCCGAAAAGAAAAAATAAACAATGAAATCGAGATTACTTAAAGTATGCTAAATGTATAATATACACTTACTTTGACACCATCAAATTCAATTGATTTTAAACGATTCACAGCATCTAAGTAATCGTCATTACTTGAAAAGTCTAAAAGCGCGTGCTTCGAACCAGCTGTATTACGCAAATTCAAATGAATAACTGATGGAAAAATATCCTTCAAAATGGTTTGGCTGACACTGCATGGTAGACTGGTAAGCAACAACTTTGGTGTCCCATGTGTTAGCTCTTAATTGTAAAAAATCGCATGCGTTTATAAAAAGTTTTATTTAAAAGAAAGCATAAAACGCAGTGATAAAATTTTCTTTGTTTGTTGATCAGCTAAAATAAGTTCAAGGACTAGGAATTATTTCTATTGAAACGCTTTTCTGTGTAGCTTATAAACAACTTAACGCAAAGCTAGGTAACACTAACATACAGAAATTTTACACAAAACACAGAAACAAATTAATGCAATAAAACCTATTAGTATTGTGAACATTAAATATCCAAGTGAATAAAAGCGGACGACTTTCTGTTAAAAAGAACGGATACTACAGAGTATTTCGGAAAAAAGTTATTAGTTAACAGAAACATTAAAGTTAAAATATAGAGACAAAATGAGATTGTTACAGGGGCGAGATATAGCAAGGTAGCGAATCATGATGAATTATAACAAAAGCTTTCTAAACCCTACAATTACGAATTTCTATTGTTACCAGATAATCATACCAATATTTAGGAAAAGGAAGGAGACGTCTTGTAAGAAATATTGAGGAATTTCAAGTCCTCAGTCAGCTACAACGTAGGACCGGGCACATATATGCATCGGTCCAGGTTGCCATACCTCATTAGCACAGCAAGATAAACACCGGATTCATATAAGTAGTTAATTCAATGGTGGTAATATATAAAAGAAAGATTGCATATAAGGATATAATACAGGAGGAAAGAATTAGTTCGTAGAAAGATATAAAGCAATTTTAATCTCATAGATTGAGGGAAGACATAGTGTTAAACCGACACCACTGTGATCGATTCTGAGCCATGTCACCCCAGTTTCCAACCGTTCGTAGTAGTCTGCATCTACCAACATGGCTAAGACTAGAAGTTAGTGACTTCAAAGACTGATGCCACATTTTGGTTTGGCCGCCCCTCACTTTCTTCCAACCATCCCGAACACCGGTCAGCATTGCACGTCGTGGTAATCAGTGTTCAGGCATACGTAACACGTGGCTCAACCATCTCAGTCGATGGAGATTCACAATCTCATCAACAGATTTACCATCATTCCTTAATACCCTGTATCTAACCTCACTATTACTTACCCGGTGATCCCAGCAGACTCCAGCAATATTTCTAAGGCATCTGTGATCAAACACTAGTAGTTTACGAGTATCTTCCACTCTTAATGGCCACGTTTTGCCCCCTGAATGCCCTGGTACGGCCGAGAGTGGGGAGAGTCCGCTCTCCCTCTCGAAATACTCTCACACGGCCACGCGTATACAGCCTCTGCCAGGGAAGTCCTACTCATTGCCTTCTCGTGGCGGGGGTGTTGTTTACGAAAATGAGAGGACGAAAAGCGAATGTCCGGCGCTTTAACCGGATTCCAAATCAATGGTGCACATGGGCTCCAGTATCCTGCGGGAACGAATGGCGTATGAACCAATCGTTGGTCACCGGCTACCATGGGACTGCATCTCCTTACGATGCTCCACTGCCTTGTGGGTTAGACCTTTAGGTCAAAGGCTCGGGGAGTGGCCCCCTAAGATAACCACCTGCTTCGGTTTGGGCACCCGGGCAGTATCACAGCCCACACACAAATGATGAACTCTTTATGTCTATGGAAATTACTTTTGTCGCTTTGAAAAACAATCAATTGATTCAAATTATGATCACTACAATTATTGTCATTATTAATACTAATATTATTATTACTACTATTATTGTCATTATTGTTATTATTATCATTATTATTATTTTCCACATTATTCACCTTCTCTTATACTTATACAGCGGCTCGTCTTTGGCGGAAATTCGACTGTATCTAAACGTTCTCGAGTCACTGTCCGGTTGAAAATTGTATTTTACCACTGAATATGAGTACTGAAACAGTTTTTCTGAAACCACGTGAGCCATTCAAACTGGCTGCCTTCAACGTTCGCACACTTATGCAGGTTGGACAACAGATAGGGCTGGCTATGTCTTTGGAAAGTCTTCATATCGATGTCTGCTGTCTATCCGAGACCCGTATTCAAGACTCTGGTGAAGTACTACAAATTCGCTCTCCATCTGTCACTTCAAAAAGCTTGTTTTACGTGCGCTTATCCGGGGACCCTGTGGCATCTTCGTCTGGTCTTGCTGGCGTTGGTGTCGCACTAAGCGCTAGAGCTGAGGCAGCACTGGTCGACTGGATCCCCATTAACAGTCGGTTATGTGCTGTTAGATTAGAAAGTTCCATCAAAGTGAGAAGAAATCGGCGTGAGAAACGATGTCTTTTCGTCATCTCCGCCTATGCCCCGACAGATTGCAGCCCGGATGCAATCAAGGATGAGTTTTACCACCAGTTATCTGTTCTTCTCCAGAAAGTGCGTTCGACAGATATTGTAGTACTAGCCGGAAACTTGAATGCTCAGGTCGGGCGTCTAGGCACAGAAGAGAGTCGTTTAGGTGGCCGATGGGGACTCGTTGGTCGCAGGTCAGATAACGGGGACCGTCTACTGCAACTTTGCACAGACCACAACCTGTTTCTGGCTAGCACTAACTTTCGGCACAGTCATCGCCGATGTGCCACCTGGCGTCCTCCCTCTGCATCTCAAGCCTGGACTCAGATTGATCACATCGCGATCAGCTACCGCTGGCGTGGTTGTGTACAAGACTGCCGCTCCTTTTGGAGTACCTATCTGGACTCTGACCATGCCTTGGTCTGCGCCAATCTTGCCTTACTTTTCAGTGGACAACGAAGTGAACGCCATCAACGGATTGATGTTAGCAAGCTGGTTGCAACTTCTGTTGCAAGTAAGTATCGAACCGAGCTAGCCTCTAGGCTAGCTACCACTCCACCGAAAAGTATAGATGAGCATTGGTTGCAATTGCATGACGCCATGAAAATGGCGGGAACAGTCAGTTGTGGGTTTGCGAAACGTCCCGCTTTTAAGCACTGGGTTTCTGCAGGTTCCTTACAACTCATTGAAGCCCGTCGGTCTACTCCGGGTGACCGTGAGTTTGACCATAAACGAAGGATGCTATGTAAGGAAATCGGGCAAAGCTTGCGTAAGGACCGAGAAGCCTGGTGGTCGATGCGTGCTAATGAGCTGGAAGCAGCAGCTGCATCTGGTAACTACCGGAAGCTCTTCCAACTCATCCGAGCCACTGGCAGCAAGAAGTCTGGTGTGAGTGAAACAATCTGCGAGGATGATGGGATGCCAATCACTAACATCCATCGACGTCTTGGACGATGGGCAGAATTTTTCGAAGGGCAGTTCAACTGGCCTGCTGCTCCGGCAACATCGGTCAGACTGTCCTGCCCTCCATGGCCGGTGACGACTGATCCACCAAATGAGGAGGAAGTCCGCAAGGAACTCCAACTCTTGAAGCGTTACAAATCACCTGGCCCAGATGACTTACCTCCGGCTCTTTTTAAAGATGGTGGTGACTTTTTGACTAAGGAATTGACGACGTTGTTTACAAAAGTTTGGGAACTAGGGAGTGTACCAACGTCATGGAATGAGTCGATAGTTGTCCCTATCTTTTAAAAGGGTTCACGTCGTTCTTGTAACAACTATCGGGGGATAAGTTTACTTCCGATTGCGTCCAAGCTATTGGCTTCCGTCATTCTTCGTAGGTTGTTCAAAACCCGAGAAAGATTGACTCGCGAGGAGCAGGCTGGGTTTCGTTCTGGTCGAGGATGTATTGATCATATCTTCACCCTCCGCCAAATGTTAGAACACCGCCATACTTTTCAAAGGCCAACAATCGTAGTGTTTCTTGACATCAGGGCTGCCTTCGATTCGTTGGATAGGACTGTTCTCTGGGATTGTCTATTGAAGAAGGGTGTGCCTGAGAAGTTTATTAACATCCTAAAAGCCCTGTATAAAAACACCTCAGGCAGAGTGAGGGCATACAACCACCTCTGTCCATTGTTCCATTCGAGCAGTGGGGTTAGGCAGGGTTGCCCAATCTCACCATTCCTCTTCAACTTTGCCATCGATGACATTCTGGAAACAGCTCTGATGAATGTAAGTAATGGTGGTGTGGATCTGTTGCCTGGAGAAAGACTTCTCGACCTTGAGTATGCGGATGATATTGTCTTACTGTGCGATAATGCCCAAGGCATGCAATCTGCACTTAATCAGTTGGCAATCAGTGTCCGTAGGTATGGTATGTGCTTTGCACCTTCGAAGTGCAAAGTACTCCTACAAGACTGGCAGGATTCTAATCCTGTACTCACCCTGCATGGTGAGCAGATAGACGTAGTTGAGAAGTTCGTGTATCTGGGTAGCTGCATAAGTGCTGGTGGGGGTGTGAGTGATGAGATCAATGCACGAATAGTGAAAGCCAGAGCGGCTTATGCCAATCTGGGCCACCTTTGGCGCCTTCGTGATGTTAGTCTGGCTGTAAAAGGTCGGATCTACAACGCGTCGGTGAGAGCAGTTTTGCTCTATGCTTGTGAAACCTGGCCTCTCCGAGTTGAGGACGTTAGACGACTCTCTGTGTTCGATCATCGCTGTCTCCGAAGGATTGCTGACATTCAGTGGCAACACCATGTCAGTAATGCAGAGGTTGGGCATCGTGTGTTTGGGCATAGAGATGATAATGCAATTGGTGTCACCATCTTGAAACACCGACTTCGGTGGCTTGGACATGTTCTCCGAATGTCGTCCCAGAGAATTACACGTCGTGCATTATTTGCCGACTCTGGGACTGGTTGGAAGAAGCGGAGAGGTGGTCAGTGCATGACATGGTGTCGTGGCATGAAAGAAAGCTGCAAAGGACTGGCTTGTGTTGGTCCTTCACGACTCCCTGGTTGGGGTCCGAGAGATGGTGCTACACAGTGGCTAGAGACGTTATCAGATATGGCTCAGAATAGAAGCCAGTGGCGATCCTGCTGTAACCTTCTTTTACTTCCTTCATAAAAAGTGGTTGTGTCTCCCTTACCTGAAAGATTTCTTCTGATTGTACCTCTTCGTCATTACTCTCTTTTTCTTTTGCGTTCCTTAGTTTTTTTTCTTTTTACTTCTCTTCGAATTCCCATTGTTTTGTGTGGCGCATATATATTGGCGCTCTCTTGTACCAATATTTATGTGTTCAAATAATAATAAAATAATAATACTCGTCCCTTAATTGGTAGACGGATATCTCGCCTTCGCCATAGGTTGTAGGCTGTAGCATCAACAGAAAAAAAACTTTACAATTCAGGAAGCTTTGTGGAGGCTCACTTAAGAGGTTTGACTCATTACAATCTTATGCAGTTTTAAAATTAATCCGTACTCTTGCTTATAATCAACGTTTCTTCCTTTATTAACTTCCAATAAGTTTTTTAAAAGCTCGTCTCCCCTTTAATGTATTAACGAAGGTTATACGGTACACTACCTTTAAGATTTTTGGTTAATACATATTAAAACATCCCTATTTGTCACTTGTTAAGCTTAGAATACTTCGGCGGCTGTATTATTATGAAAGTAATAAGGTATTATTAACAGATCTCAGGTTCAGAATATAATTTCGAGTTTATTTTACTGCATATGTTAAGTTACATAAAACTATTTGATACCAAATAGAATATTTATTGGCAAAGCACTTGTCGAATACACTTATAGGATAACTCTGAAGTGAAAATGTCACTCAATCTACAACAAAAATATATCACGTCAAAATTTAATTATAAGCAAAACAAAGATTTGATTTTTACCTTTGGTCTCAGAAATAGATTTTTGTAAGATCTGAACAAAAGCATTAGCTATACAAAAAATACTTACCCTCTTTTTTGATTTACGACCAAGCTTTTCATTCTTGGAATATTCCTTCTTAACGCTACACGTTTGATTTGACTTGTCTAAACCGATATTAATTCCTGACGCCTTTGTGGAAGGACAATCAGTTGACTTTGATTTCTTTGAATGTCTAGGAGTCCTAGATTTACAGTCTACCTCATCACGTGCCGTCCTTTTCATAGATATCTGAAATATTAAGAATAGATTTCACTTTACAACATGGAATTCTTGTGCATTGGGAGCATAAAATTTATTGGATTAGTAAAACAAGGTTTTTAGTACATTGTACGAAGTAAATATCATGAGAAAATAATGCAGAACAAAAACGATGTACTTCTAGACATTTGCAAACAAGTAGTAAACCAAATAAACTTACAGAATTTGGTTTCTTTTGTGCACTTCACTTGTAGACAGAATGTGAGAAGAATAATGGGAACTTTGTTTTTTGCAGCCGTATACTCCCCCACAGAACACAGCCGTCCTACTGTTAAAACTCATGACAGACGAGAATTTACCCTCACAATGTAGGGTCTGGCGTGCGTATCATTCTAAGTTCATACATCCTAAGAGAATATTGGTTTAAGGTTGCTTATTGGTAATATCCAACCACCTAACATAAATACCAGTGAAAATTAATTAAAGATCGAAATTCAGTCAGTAACAACGTAGAAGCTCGTACGTACGTACATCAGTTCAAGTTGCCACACCACATTAGCACAGAGATGCAGTGGTCGATTCAAATCCCGTAGTGGTAGAGGTAATAAGAGTATAAGCAGTAATTGGGAAGATTAGTGTTTGGAGATGTTACTTAAAGAGTATAATCCAGTGAAATAAATTTGGAAAGAGGAAAAAAGGGACATGAATTCAGAAGATTAGAATTTGGGAGAACACAGAGAGTGGATGCACCTACGCCATTGCAAACGATTTTGAGCCATGTCATCCAGGGTCTCTAACCATCGGTTGCTATCATCTCGCGGTCCCCAACCAGGTAGTCTATACCTACCGACATGACTCAGTCCACTTGTCAGTGACTTCATGGACTTGTGCCATGTTTTGGTCTGGCCGCCCCTAGCTTTCTTCCAACCTACTCCTATACCACTGAACATCGCACGTCGAGGCAGTCGGTCGTTGGGCATACGTAACACGTGTCCCAGCCATCTCAACTGATGAAGTTTCACTACGTCATCAATTGATTTGCCATCCTTACCTAGTACCCGTATTCTAACAACTGCATTACTTACTCGATGGTCCCAGGATATACGAGCAATATTTCGAAGACACCTATGATCAAATACTAGTAACCTACGGATATCGAAATTACGCATTCGTGATTTAAGTGATTAAATCTTTTGACAATAAAGCCAAGAAGTAAGTACGAACAAGGTAGACAAATAACGTGAAATCTAGTACGAATGTGTATCGGTCCAAGTTGTCAAACGTCATTCAAGCTTACGATCAATGATATGAGATGTAAACAAAAAGAAAAAGTAATGAAGAACCACGTAGGCGTCGAGAGAAAAAGAAATGAGTGACTTCCAAGAATAACAACCCAGTAACGACTCGCGTTTTCGATTTTGAGTAAAACGTCTTGTATGAGGGATATACCTAATCCTAAAACGTACCAAGAGTCGATCCTGTAACCTAGTGATTTTAAAATCAAACTCCATTATCAATAAGCGGATACCCGACATAAGATAATGGTATTCTCAAGACTTGCAAAGAATGGATTTATCCCCGCTACTGCAAATGTTGAAGTCAATGTCATTTAATACCATTGACAATACTTTAGGATTGTTATATGAAACACATTTAAGAATCTCATGCCTTTCTACACCGTTTAGATTAATGATGAAAAAGACTAATAAGCTATGGTTCCCCTCATTTATCAATCCCTATCTCAATGAATATGATAACTACAGATATGCAGTTGCGTACATTTAAAACACCTCGTTTGACGAGCCTCCTTAAATGCATAAACCTGGAAGTACACCCGAAGCAACCCATAAAGGTGAAATAATAGGGAAATGCACCATAATGACTGCTTTTTCGACTGTCAGGAGGAGATAATGAGGATTTGTGGTTGAGATGAAAAAATCAATAAATAGATAGAATTTTCTCACAAAAGACTAAGAAACATAAACAAGTATGTAATTAGGGATACGAGTTAACATCAAGTTGCGTAGCAAGTGCTCCTTCTGACTTTCAATGTAAATGTCGGACATTAGACTTCGTCTCAGTATGGAAGTCGACAGTGTCTACTGTCCCTTCCGTACTTAGGCGGCATAATTCTTCAACAAAGTTTAGCACAAACCTTGTACCTTAATTTCAAGCGTTTAGTATTATCGACTTATTTGTTAGCGCATCCAAGACTACATAACAGCGTTACGGATTCTATCGGAATTGGTTTACTGAAATTTCTTAGGGAATATGAACGGTGTTAAGGGCCTGAAAACTTATAATGTGTATTTGTTGAAGCACCTTCCTGTGGATGTTCGTTCACATGGACCTTTAGATTCTTTTTTGCCTTCCCATTCGAGTCTTATATGAGACAGATTAAGAAATCAGTACATGGCGGGTATGATGCAGTCAAGCAAGCAGCTCAGCGTTACGCGTAGATATCTTTCTGTGATAGGCTTCAAGTTAGCATATTGACTATATACTATACTATACAAACAATCGTTAAGGCACACTCAGGGAAACAGGTAATTATGCTTAAGAATACAAAAATAACTTCATTTAAGCCAGATGCTATTCTAGTACACGAAAGCCTGGCATTGCAACTGACGTAGGGGAAAATGGACTAATGACATTTAGATCACTTACAGACCCACGGGATTACTTCGAAGAACCCTTCCACTTTAGTGACAGGAATATTTATGTGCTCTGTAGTTAGTCATGAGCACACAGGTTTCCTTTAAGGATATTGACTGTAAATGTATTGCTCTTGTGTTAATAATTTAGCGACTGTTCCATTGCTACATACGTTTATGTGGTATTTTTGCTGATGGTATTACTTTAAACCAGTTCCTATTTAGCCGACCAACAAGCAGTACGTAATTATAGACTCACTAAGTGGGAGGCAGGTTCTGATTGCAGCAAAACAGTGAATTGTGAGAAAAGGACTTTGTCTCTATCCTACGGTCCTTTTTAATATGCACCTACAAAACAGTGCCCAATCAGATGAAAACTGGTCAGTCATGAAGTGTAAGGTCATTCACGAATGCGGTGAGTTACAAACATAGAAACGACCATTTCCTATAGATAGTTCCCAGACCGCAAAGGAGTTGTTGGCTTCGTTCAACAAATTGGATGTTTACCGTGTCAACAGTTCTACAGACGTAAACACTGCCACTAAACAATGAGAAGCTGAAGAGGTCAGTAAAGTAATCCAATATTTCGTAGAGGTGCATTGAAACTGAACGAATGGTTTCTGTACAATTTCATTGACATGGATGTGACCGAGATGCAGGCTAGAAACATCCACATTCAATATCCTAAATTTCGGTTGCTAAACACCGTTGTCTCACCAACTGCCAAGTATGCGTGTCTACTACATATACCTTAATAAACTAGTTCGACACAGTTGGGTAGTAACGCTCAACATTCAAGTCTAGGCGTGTGAGAAGTGCGTTACCGGCCGAGTAAGTAAAATGCTCAACTGAGCTAAGTTCTTAAGATTTGATAGACTGTATCATGTACTGTTGTTTCAGACTTGAGTACCAACATTGTGCAGCTAATATCGAAGTATGGTGGGCGTGAACATTCGCGGCAATTTGATTTCCGACTATTAAGTTTGCAGTCCCCTTTGTCATCCGAAGAGGAACGGAAAACGTTGGACTCATGTCTTCAACAGCAAGACATAAGGAGCAAATTTGTACGTCAACAAAATTCATTGCAGATGGCCATATTGACTTGGTTAATAAACGATAACCCTAAAATGTCTATGCGCTATTTATTGTCATACGTCATGACACCTGAAGCTGCCAGTCATTTTACTCTACTTGACACTTCATCTAAAAGAGAACTTCAGAAGTGCAGGTTTTACGAGTGCATACGAAATAAGAACTTTGTTTTCAAAACCTTCAGGAGCATTAACAACTCGGTTCTTATTCCTATCCGTCAGTGAAAAGAACTTGCAAAACTGTATGACATCGCGACGCAAGAGTACTTTCACGATAGAGACAAAATAAGAAAGCGTAATTGAAAACAAGAATATGTATATACTAGTTTAAACTCATAACTATTCACTGCTGTACTATAGTTGCAAAGCCCCCAAATGCCCTGGTACAGACGAGAGTGGAGGGAGTCAACTCTTTTGCGAAATGCTCTTACACAGCCACGCGTATACAGCCTCTGCCAGGGAAGTCCTATTCACTGCCTTCTCGTGGTGTGGGTGTTGTTTACGAAAATGAGAGGACGAAAAGCGAATGTCCGACGCTTTAACTGGATTCCAAACCAATGGTGCACATGGGCTCCAGTATCCTGCGGGAACGAATGGCGTATGAACCAATCGTTGGTCACCGGCTTCCATGGGACTGCATCTCCTTACGATGCTCCACTGCCTTGTGGATCAGACCTTCAGGAAGGCTCGGGGTGTGGCCCTCTAAGAAAACCACCTGCTTCGGTTTTGGAACCCGGGCAGTATCACAGCCCTCACACATATCGAATGAGATTTGTGTGGCGCATATGTATTTGGTGCCTCTTTGTACTATTATCTATGTGTTGAAATAAAAATAAAATAAATTCTAATGATAAACAAACTTTAAGACTCGTTGGTACATGTTAACCCATTACATAGCATTTATCCTGATATACTTACAAGAATAGCCCCAGAGTTACAATCTGGTTGAAAAGAACCTAAATTCTGAGAGAAAATATACGAATCAGTCAGACAAATGTTTGCTAAATTTAGCAAACATTAAAGGTTTAGTAAGTTGGGTTGAAAAACTTTCCCTGGATTAACCAACCTGTACCAAAATCTGCAGATAAATGTGAGCAATTTTCAAAGAAAATCGAATTAACCCAGTAATATACATCTATACAAAACAATGAAATAACCGACGAACCATGTCGAGTAACGGTCCAATGGTTTCATCGAATGAAGGACGTGATTGAGCACTTGAAGGTCAAACTGTCATAAAACGATTGATATGTCATCTCGACAATTCGTAAGATTTTACAGAAGCGGTCAACTCAGGAGTTTTAAATTTGATTTGAGTTCAGCCACACTGTATGTGGTAACCTCCATCCTTCAAGTAACGAAAGTGATGCCATCTTAATGATGCATGATATAGGACGAATCTTCAATGATACTATGTCATCGGGACAATTTTGAGACCTGCCAAGGTAGGTCTTTCAGCAGAAAGGAGTACATAAGGTAATATGACTTCTGTGATTGATAATTCGTTGTATAGTATACGCACACTAAGTATATCATTTCAGTATGCAGAAAGAACAAAAATGGCCCATCCGTAAGGTATATTTATCAGATATGTTTGTACTTATGGACGTAAACGCAGTACTGCGACTTACCGGTCCAACAAAGTTGGTTAAGTAACACATAATAACCTCATCTTAGAGTTTTCCACTATTCAAGCTGACAGTTAATAATAGTCTTGGGCAAGAGCACAGCGTCATGTGTGCTCTGTGCATGAAAGAACGACGTGAAGACGTCGTAAGTTTACTCAAATACTTCAAAGAAACCATGTGTGTTACTTACGATACATGTTATGAATTCGGCAGCGACTAAAACTTCCGTGATACAGTCTACGCACAGTCATGCGGACATAATTCTGTGTTTGTTATATGTCTACATAGCATTTTTCAGGGAGGTAAGGATTAACTGTACAAATTATTTGCTGTAGTTCAGTAATCCCGCCCGAGCTCCCAATTTCGGGGAAATTTTGACCCATTTTGGGGAAGTTTCGGGGAAGCCGCTATAGTAAACTTTGGGGAAATGGCACAAAACCCCCATGGAGGCTTCCCAAAACGGGTCAAATTCTCCCCAAAATTGGGAGCTCGGGAAGTTTTCCAAAACTTGGGGTTCTCAGGTCACTTCAAACTCTTAAATGTGCTCACAACTTTCGCAGCTAAAATTGCGGCAGTAAATCATGAATAAGTTGAGTGAATGAAAGACGAAGTAATGGCAGGAGAATACATCCGCTGCTACGAAAAGGGCATTATGTATGTTGTTGACACTCCACATGGACTGTGTGCTTTTGAGCGTTTCAACGACTACATGTTGCCGTGCGGTCATACTTTGTATGCACAAATCAAATATTTAATTCGTGGAGGTTTAATTCTTTGTCTCTATAACCACCGCAGACATATCTCTATGTAGAAGTCTTAGATAAATTCATTTACATGGATGTGTTTTTCCTGACGGAGTCCCATCGCTGACAGTCCCATTACCCGGTTACGCAAAAAATAATGCAGTATCCCAAGCAACACAAAAAGGGGAAAGAAAGGGGAAGAAAGGGGAAATAAAGCGGACAAAAGGGGAAATAAAGGGGAAATGTCGCTTTTTCGCCTTTACGTCGGTTATTTAGGGGAAATGTCGCTTTTTCCCCCTTACGTCGTGTATTTGGGGGAAATTCGTCCACTGTTCTACGTAACGTACAGTGTTTGAATGAACCGCATCGGGAACTGAAGTTTTCAGAAACTTCGACAAATTTAGGCACCGCTTAATAAAAAAACAAAAGTATTGTCATAGAAACAATGTACAAAATACGGAACCAGGCATTCGGTTGAAACGCATATAGAGTGACTTCATTTGCTGTTTAGCTAAAGTGTTCCGACATGCTTGGGAGCCATCACAAAAAACTTACCTGATGCAGGTGAGTGACGTGCTCTCAGGATTTCAGGTTCATTGTGACTGATTACCTTCTTAGGCCAATAATATGACTTTTTATGATGTCAGTGAGAATGTTCGTAGACGTAGGGCCACTGTGAACTTGTCACGTTTCCTCGGTTGTCACAGAACCACTTATAATCGGAGGTGGAATAAAATGAGAGCTGCTTTAATGAAAAAATATGACTTCCTTTCGTTCAGTGAGTTTGCTAATGAAAGCACTCTAAAAGGTAACTGAGTTCAACAGTGCTGTTTATTAAATTGGTAGAAGTAAAGACGGAAATCACTTGTAATGACAGTACTTCAACTGTAACACCATGCACTAGCAACATTAACCAAAGGCTTCCAGACAATAGTGGTATGTTTAATAAATTCACACGCGAATATATATCTTATAGGATCTCCTGAAGTGGAATTGTGCTCTCATAAGTTCGTAAATCGCAAAGAACTGATGAACGACTTTATGATGTATCTAGTGTCAAATACATCTCTCAGCATAAGAGCTGCTGATCGGGTTTTGTATAGTTTACGATTTCTTATCCCGGACATACTGAAAAGCATAAGAGGTGTCCTGAAGACGTGTCCAAGTGTTCAACCAAAGTTTATCGGCAGTGGGGTTTACTACCATCTAGAATTGAAAACCAATCTGCTAAGATACGTTGAGCTTTGGTTGCGTACTATTGATTTTGACTCTTTACATTTATATCTCAATGTAGATGGACTTTCTATGTCTAGAAGCTCCAATCAACAGTTATGCCCTATACTAGGACGGATCATTGCCCCTAGGTTTAGTGACGTGTTCCTGATAGGGATCTACGGAGGGAATAGTTAGCCGGCAGAATTCATTGTATAGAATTCATCATATTGTATTGGTAATTATTTGCAACAGTATGAATATAAACTTCCTATCGTATGTGCAAACTCTGGATATAGTTTTGGATCATGTATTGTACGAACATTACACTTGCTTTCGCTTGATTAATAAACAGTTCCAACTTCACGAAACTGACAAGATTCTGCCAATGTGACGACGGACCACAGGTGAACTCGAGGAAGCTGTAGAAGGCTCAGAAGGAGCCGCAGGAAGAGAACCCATAAACGACATTCTTCGAAACCCTACTCCAAGAAATAGAGGTATACTGCTCTAACTAACAAAATATTGGCATCACATAATCGATCACAAATTAACCGCCAACAAAAGTATGTAAACTTAGATATAAATAAAAAGCGCGCACGCCTGCAGCTTGACACTGCTTCCGACATCACACTTATTAGTCGAAGAACCTAGAATCTTATCGGAAAACTACAGGTGGTCCCAACAATCCAGTTAGTTCATAGTGCATCTGAAGGGAAATTAAATATTGTTGGAGAGGTTTGTTGTACAGTTTCGAAAGGAAACGCGAGGACGGATACAACGCTATATCTCACAGAGAACCCAGCACTAGATTTGCTGGGTCTAGACCTGATAGAAACACTACAATTAGCAAATCACTCCATTAACCACATATGCGGCGCCACGAGAACCAATAAACCAGTGGAAAAGGATCTGAAGGGTGTTGTGTTGGAAAGACATAGTCAAGTGTTTACGGAAGAGCTAGGGGAGTTCGAAAAGGCAAAAGTACTACTGATTCTTAAACCGGGAGTCATCCCCGTCTTCAGACCAAAACGTCTGGTACCTTATGCAGCGTTGCCCATCGTTGAACAAGAATTAGAGCGTCTGCAAAGAAGTGAAATAATCGAGCTAGTAAACTTTTCTGATTGAGCAGCACCAATAGTGATTGTCAAAAAGCCTAATGGAAGTATCCGGTTATGTGCAGATTATTCGACTGGATTAAATGAAGCACTTGAAGCCCATCAATACCCATTGCCGATACCAGAGGATTTATTTGCGAAACTGAATGGGGGTAAGTATTTTGCGAAATTAGACCTATCAGACGCTTATCTACAGATTCCGGTAGCGGATGAGTGTAAGCATTACTTGACAATAAACACTCACAAGGGATTGTTCCGATATAACCGACTTCCTTTTGGAGTAAAGACTGCCCCTTCAATCTTCCAACAAGTTATGGACACTATGTTACAAGACATTCCTGGTACCGCGGCTTATCTCGATGATATATTGATCATGGGTACAGACTATGCTGATTTAGAGAATAAGGTGGATACGGTTCTCAGACGCATAGCAGATTATGGATTCAGACTGCGTGCCAAAAAATGTGATTTTTACATGGAGCAAGTCCGGTATTTGGGATTCATAATTGATAAAAACGGGAGAAAACCTGATCCTGAAAATGTCGAAGCCATTAAGTCCATGCCTCCACCGACAGATGTGTCAACTTTACGTTCTTTCTTGGGAATGTTTGGTCATTATGGCGTTTTTCTTCCAGATCTGCATCGCCATCGTGCTCCTCTTAATTGCTTATTGAAAAAGGATACTAAATGGTTCTGGTCAACTGAATGCCAGGAAGCATTCCTAAAACTGAAGCAGCTTCTATCATCGAACCTTCTCCTTACACACTATGATCCCGATCTTCCAATTATAGTCGCAGCAGATGCGTCAAACTACGGAATTTGAGCAGTAATTTCACATACCTACCCTGACGGGTCTGAGAAAGCAATCGCTCACGCTGCGAGATCTCTGACTATGACTGAAAGGAACTACAGTCAGATAGAGAAAGAAGCCCTCTCCATTATATTTGCCGTAAAAAAGTTCCACAAGATGTTGTTTGGCAGACAGTTCACCTCACTAACAGACCATAAACTGCTACTGACAGTTTTTGGATCCAAAAAGGTATCCCTGTATATACAGCAAACCGTCTACAGCGATGGGCAACTACACTGCTGGGCTGTGATTTCAAGATAAAGTACTAACCGAAAACGGATTTTGGACAGGTAGATACCCCTTCCAGATTGGTTGGTTCGCATGCAAAACAAGTAGAGGAAGTGCTTGTAGCTGCCATAAATGTTAAGGCTTAGGTTCACAAAGTATTGTCAGACGCAGTTTCCGGACTCCTGGTCACATTCGAAGCTACCAAAGAAGTTATTGAGAAGAACAGTACGTTGAAGGTTGTTCGCCGCTGCATACTCAACAAATAGCCTTCATCTAGACAAAATGGAGAGCTCTTCCACATTTTCGTAGACGAGATTCTTTGACATTTGTCGATTTGTGCATCATGTTTGGCCACCGCATAGTTCCACAGTGGGCACCCGAGGATAAGTAAAATGAGATCACTAGCTCACAGCTATGTATACTGAGCGTCAATGGACCATGATATAGAACGAAAATGTCGCAGTTCTTGGTCCCGTCTAGAGGCTGCGAAGCTGAACTACAACTGTGGCCAAAACCGGATGGGCCTTGGCAAAGAATACACGCTGATTTCGCCGGACCAATGCAAAGCAGAAATTATTTAGTTGTTGTCTATGCTTTCACAAAATGGCCAGAAGTATACGACATGCCGAAAACGACATCAGAGTGCACAATAAGAAAATGGTCAGGAGTGTTTGCTTGTTTCGGGGTTCCGGAGATCTTCGTGACCGACAACAGTACTCAGTTTATGTCAAACGCTTTTGCAGTGAAAATGGCATATACCATCAACAAACTCCTCTGCACCATCCTCAGTCGAATGGCCTGGCAGAAAGATTCGTGGATACGATAAAAAGAGCTCTGGTCAAAGTGGGAGGTGAGGGTATCCCAGAATAAGTGATCAGTAATTTCTCAATGTCGTACAGAGTTATCCCTAATCCGGCATTACTAAAAGGAAGGTCACCAGCCGAATGTGTATCGTACGGTCACTCGTAGCTTTTAGGTGGGTGAAAAGGTACTTGTCAAATCGTATCTTTAATTCCACCGTCTCTTCTGCCGACAACGGTAAACATATTTCACATGATGACAAAGTGGTTGAATCTACTTCCCCTCGCAACACAACTCTTACCTTAACCAATCCTACGAGTATTCATGGAACTACCAATTGCGATTTATACTCTAACCTGCTTCACTATGATAACTAAGTTTCGTATTCTTTCGTTCAATGTCCGCTCTCTGTCCAATAAGATTATTCATCTTAAAACTCTTTTGTTCCTTGTAAATCCAACCATTGTACTTATTACGGAAACGTGGTGCAATTCATCTATATCCGATCATTCCTTGAATGTAGATAACTACGTTTTCTTTAGAACCGACAGATGTTATGGAATAGGAGGCGGTACAATTGTCTATGTCCGTTCGGACATTCAAGCGTGCAAATTCAGGGATAAATCCCTTGATGCTATAGACGACTCCACTTGGGTTACTGTAAACTGTGGACCCCCAAATTATTTATTGGTGGGATGCATATATAGACCATCTCATGCGGATACTAAGTTTGAAAGATCACTAACAAGCATCTTTACCATTGCTTCGCACCAACCGCATACTTTTAAATCATCGGGGGTGATTTTAATCAGCCAAAAATCACATGGGGCTTGACTCCGGTACGAGATCAATATAACAAGCTAGTTGAAACACTAGAAATTTGTGGATGGGTTCAACAGGTCCGAAAACCGACCAGGGGGAATAATATACTTGATTTAATGTTCACAATCAACATAGACTCTATCTCAGTGCATACCAGTCATGAGTTTTTAATGAGTGACCATAGAGTTGTATTGATTATTATTCACTCTTTAAACGCCATACAATTGAACTCTAAAGCTTTGATGTGCCAGAGCAGACATTTCGATCAACAAACCTGGAAACGGACTGAAACTCTCATTCAATGTTTACCATGGGAAACTTATTTTAGCACGAATAATGTTGACATTGTGCTTTCCAATCTATACCACAATCTGATATATTGCCTTGACTGCACTGCTCCAGTTATTGGCCGTGTGGCTTATAATGCTAATAGAGGCCAGAATACTTTGAAAAGAAAGCTGAGGAAATTAAAATACCGCTACTACGAGCAGAATGATGTGTATGCACTTCACAGTATACTCAAATTAATCGACAGAAATGCTTCATCTAAACCTAAGTATTTTATGAATATAGAAAATAAAGCTCTACGTAGTAAAAGCCGAGAATTGTCAATACTTCGGCTTTTTCAATCCCGTGTAAAGTCAAATTCCCTTGGCACGACTAAATTTTTCATGGTAACGGAAGCATTGTTAACGACCCGAATACTATATGCGAACAATTCAGCAAGCACTTCTCGCAGTGCTACAAAACTGGGACTGAAAGCTCTATCATTACATTTCCAATGCTGACATCCAGACATCTATCAAAAATTGATTTTATACCCTCCAACATCAAGCAGGCCACAGCTGCCCTGAAAATGTCTTATGATGGTGGACTGACGGGATACCTTCATCATTTATGAAATATGGAAGTAGAGAATTTCCACTATTTTATTTGAAACTTTTCAATCTATCTATGGAATATGGGACCTATCCATCTGTATAGAAAACATTTCTTATCACCCCTAGATTCAAAATGGGATCACGTAGTGATATTATTAACTATGGGCCAATTAATTTGACATCCGTGCTCTCAAGAACTATGGAAAAAATGATCCACAAACAGCTATTATCATTTTTACTTTCGGCTAGTCTGATCAGCCCATTCCAACACGGGTTTATGACTAAACGCTCATGTTTCACATCGCACCTAGAGTTTTTTGATCAAATTACCCAGAGAAGAGATGTTGGTCAGCCAGTGGTAATTCTTTACTTCAATTTTAGTAAGGCTTTCGACAGTGTCTCACACAAACTTCTTCTTTTAAACTCTCTTCATTTGGCATACAGAATCCCCTTTTATCTTGGTTGAAGTCTTTTTTAGAAGAACGTAGCCAAATCGTTCGCTT